TTTCTTTTTTTTTTTGCAATTACTGAAGAGTGAGACAAAAATCGTTTTGTTTTCAGATGGGAGAAGAGTCCAGATTGTTTGTCACAGTCTTACTATTTTAATATATTTGTGTTACTTACCTTCCCCAGGAAATCCATAAGGAAACTGCTTGGGCTAATAGAGAACATTTTTCCTCCTATTCCTTTAATCCTGATTCGATTAGAGGTCTCAGTCACTGATTTACATACTGTTAGTTCSTCTGTTTTGTTCAGCCCAAATCCTATAGTCCTTACAGAGGCAAACCAGCCTTAGGCAAAAGTCAGTGGAAATTTTGCCTGAGTAAAGTCCAAGGTTTGTATGATTTGGCAGTTACATGACAGAACAAGAGAAAACAAAGCAAAAAAACACGTTTTGCCCAGAAATGGATTGTGATCCACAATTATTTCGTAGTGTAAAAATTATCTTCTAAATACCCATTAAAAACATACTGGGTTTTATTAATTGCGAAATGAGAAGTTGCATATTTCCTAGACACTGATTCAGGTCACTCAGAAATTCATTCCCAGTCTTTGGGGGTAAAGGAAGGAAATTCAACAGGTCTGTGGACAAGATTTAAACAAAAAAAACTTTTATTAGTCTATATAGCAATGACATTGGAAAAATAGAGTGGAATATTTCAGGATCAGCCAATATTCCAGTATGCTAAATGAGTGCCTCACTCCCTTTCCCACTGTACACACTTTTAAAACCCCTTAACTCCTGAGAGTTCCTGAGACTGTATCCTGCTTATGTTAGTCTCTCAAATAATTTGTTGTAATTTCTGCTAATGGGTGGTCATTTAATCTTGCTGGTAACTCTTAAATGGGTCAAGGTAATACTAATTTCGTATGTCACAGGGAGCACAGTCCTGCTAATTTGGTGCATAAAATCTTTCCTTCTCTCTCTGAAAAAGAAGGAAAGATTTGGGTGCATAAGCTTTGCTGGATGGGGCCTTGGCCAGATGGCTGGGAGACGCGGTGGGAATGAGAAGGTGGGATAAAAAGAGAGGAACTATTTCAGAATGTGACTCGGGGCTCGAACGCTTGCAAAATGGCTCTTTGCTGATATCCTTGCAGTGCTGGCAGCAGTGGGAAGGAGCTGTCAAGAAAGCTATGCCAGGTCAGCCTTTCCATTTTGTTTCAGGCAGGCTTGGTTGCAAAATATATTGAAATCATTCTGGGAGAGCGGAAAAGCTGAAAAATAAAAGAAAGATCTAATCACGCTTGGCTTCTTTGGTGGGGGGGGGGGGGGGGGGGGGGGGGTGGGGTGGTGGGAGGCTGGGCCTCTGATGATGCATCCTTCAGAGTCTGTGAAAACTCAAAGCAATCTTTTTCTCTTCTCCCCCTGTCCCTTTCCTCCCTCTTTCTCCTTGTCCATGCAAAGCAGAGGCTGACCATGTGGAACCGGCACTGGCCGACGAGGATGAGAGCCTGGCAATAGCAGACCCCAGCGGCATCAGCATCGCCGCAGGCGGGACAGACCCCGACTTGTTAACCTGTGGACAGTGTCAGATGAACTTCCCGCTGGGAGACATCTTGGTTTTTATAGAGCACAAGAGAAAACAGTGCAATGGCACTGGTGGTGTCTGCTATGAAAAGAGCATGGATAAGAGCAGCCCTCCCCCCTCCTCACGCGCCGAGCTCAGGAAAGTGTCAGAGCCAGTGGAAATCGGGATCCAAGTCACACCCGATGAAGAAGACCGTCTTCTCACGCCTACAAAAGGAATTTGCCCCAAGCAGGAGAACATTGCAGGTACAGCACGTTTTACACTCAATCAACTTGCCTAGGTAATCTTTTAACTAGAGTCCTCTAGAAAGTGCCGTGATACAGGCTTCAGCAACACCTTTATAGGAGCCATCCATCTGGAGGATCTTCATGGCTATGCAGGGCTGTCCATCTCCTGTTTAAATCAGTGTAGCTGTCTGTGCAGGTCCAGCTGCTGCAGAAACAGGCCTCTCAGGCCTTGGGGAGAGCCAAGGGGCAGCCTGTACATCTGGGAAAAAGCAGAAAGTTGGGGGCAGAAAACATTTCAGGAGCATCCTTAAGAAGGTAGCCATGGTGGAGGGATAGGGGACTTYGGTGAGACGCTCAGTTCAGTCCTGTTCCACATACCCTTTGTAACATGCACACTCATTGAAAAGGACAACATTTTCACTCTAGTGGTCAGTGGAAAAATCCTCTTCCCACTCACTCTTGGTGGGAAAAAGATTTTGTTGTGAGGGCTAAACGAGGGGTTCGTTAAGCCCTTCCTTTTTCCTTCCTTGGGTAGATGTCAGCTTCCTGTCCTGCACTGCTGCCTGTGCAGCCTGTCCTTGATCTCCTTAGGTGGCTTGGGTTGGGTGGGCAACACCTCCATTCTCATGCACAACCCAAATGGATCTTCTGAAGGACGATACAAAAGCACAGGATGGCTGGGGTGAGAAAATTGCAGGCATTTCTTTTTCTAAAACTCTCATATGTGGTGCAGTTAATGTTCATTCAGTGGACCTCTCCTGCTCAGAGGTGGGTGGGCAGGTGATAATTATCCACCTGGGTGAGGGGATATGCTGTGGTTCCTGCAGAGGGCCTGGCATGGGGTTGCTTCCATCATGCAGGGCATTTCTCTCCTCTGCAGTGGTGAAAGGATGACTCTCCTCCCTGCTACTGAGTGGGGGTTTTATGTTACACAGCAGGATCTCCCCTCAAACAGGCCTTTTTTGTTCAAACCGACTGCATCCAATACAGAAGACCAGTGGCAATTTGTCTTTGCTGCCACTATCCTGACTTCTTTAGGAATTGTCCTATGGGATTAGATCTGACAGCCCAGGATCCCGCCTGTAGTAGAAATGTTCCCATGAGGGGATCCCCAGAAGACCGGTGAGAGGCTCCTCTCTTTACAACTGAAGCTTGAGAGATTTCAGCTTTTARTGTTGGAGGTCTCTGAGTCAGTCCCCAGCATCTCTGCCAGGCTTGGGCCTCACCTAAGTGAGGRTGGAGGCTTTAAAATGCTGCAGTCTTCAGACTCCTTGTCTTTTAGGATGGGGTAAAGGACACCTATTGACTACATTGTTTTCTTCTAGGGATCTTTTATTGGGTGCAGCCGCCACCTGGACATGGGGCAGCTGTGGGGGAATTAGCTGTGGCAGGCCTGCGCTGGTGCATTGTAAGCCAACCTGTCGCAAGACCTGACCCTGTCCTTTCCTCATCCTCTTTCAGCATTCCTCATCCTTTTGCAGCTGTGAATGCATTTCTCCACAGAGATGACTACATCATGGTGTAGCAGATTTGAGGGCTCGATTTCCTTTCTTTTTGGTAGGAGCAAGAGAGAAGCATTCAGGACCCTCTCCCGCAGTCTGCTGAAGGCTGCCTAAGTGGTGCTGGGCACTCCCCATAGCTGCTGCTCTCTGTGCAAGCTGATGGCGCTCAGCCCCTCACAGAGGGTGTGCAGTGCTTAGCAAGGTTGGTTTAAGAGAGCTCTGTTGCAGTTACAGCCCAGAGCTCATCTCTTACTGATCTCTGCCCAAGTTCAGTCCATAGTACCTCAATCGCTATTCCCAGAGCGGAGGGTGCTGTCCCATCCCAGCTTCTGGGGGTCAGCAACAACATAACCAAAGCTTTCACCATGCAGAAAATCTGCCGGGATAGGAGGGGGTGAAGGAGATGTTCACATGTGGGAAAGGCATAAAAAAATTTAAAAGCCAGTCTGGAGCACCTAATCTCTTTCAGACTAAACTGGATATCAAATGAAAAATGTGTAGGAAAGATTTTGAATTGAGAAAAATAAAAGGGTTTATCATTTGATTGGCATTTTCTCAGCAGTGCATGGAGATAGGGACATCCACTAAACAGTGCCATAATAATGCTTTCTCAATTAGGAGCCCAGCTCTGAGATAAAAAGGTGCAGTGTCCTTCCATATTTTTTTTAATAGCAGCGGATAGTTTTCAATAGTAGGATAAAAGCCTCACATTACAGCCATGGAGGGTAGCCATGAAAAACCCACAGAAGTCATTCACTGGAAAGGCTTTAGTGGGATATACCAAACCCCTTATTTATATTTCAATAGAAAGGCTTTCTGCATTAGCCAAGAAAATCAGAATCTGCATTTAACATTAAAGGTATTTCCCAGTGAGCGGCTGTAGAGCATTGTTGTTAGATTTGTTAAAAAAAGAGACTAAATACGATTTCATAAAAGGGAAACTTAATCTCTAAGGCAGCTTTCTCCTACCCTGCCACCCCCTCCCTTTTTTTTTTTTTTTTTTGGTAATAATGCAACAGCCTACAGTATTTTTACTTTATATGTGACGAAAGATATTCTTAGCCTTTCTGTACTGCGACAGGAAGAATGAATTTCTTTATTCCACCAAGAAATATGTAAAATAATCCCTTAGAAGTATGGGGAGATATGTTTGTTCAAAGCATTTAAAATGTTATTTTAATCAAAGGCACAAAACACTCTACATGCTGTGTCAGCTAAAGGAGACCATTACATTTTAACAGCAAATCATGTTCTTTTTCCCCCTCCTAGCCAGCYCCCCCCTTTGAAACTAACTTTTTTTTATTAAATAAAAAGGCGAAAAAGATTAAAGAATAATAATAAAAAAAAACTTCAGTGGCTCAAATGTATAAAGTAATTTAATATGGTGGAAGCATTAATTATTTTAGCTTAATTGAATTCTGAGGACTGCAGTAGTTGCATTTTTGTAGACAAGCTCTGTTTATTATTTCTTTGTGTAGATTAACAGTAAAGGAAACATAGATAACTTTCAGTTATTTATTGTAAAATAAATGTGTCAATTCATGTGTAAAGCAAGCTGTTCAAAGATAATTGGGTCTTTATATTTGAAGAGGAAAACCAGAAATCACCCACTCGCCACTCCGGCTCCCTGAAATATGCTGCCACCACTGCTGTCCTCAAAGAGGTTTCAGCTCCTCTCCTTGAACTTGTGTTATTTTTGTAGACCTTCTTATTTGGTCAGAATGATTTGTACAGCCTTCTGTGGTGTGACTAAGCCACCAAACCTTACAGCTTCCCATGGCTGAATGCTCTGAGGGTGCGTCAAATGCTGAGCTTGGCTCTGCCATTGCACCTCTTGTAGCTCTGGGAGTTAGGATACTGGAAAGCAGAACTATGCTGAGTATTCATGCTGGCACAGACTGCTGAGGTCTTTCCTCTTCTGTTTCTTTTTGTCTTTTTGTTTTTTACTTTCTTGGTAGCTCTTCTTGCCCTGGTCACTGAATACCTCTTGACCACTCAATGGACCTTGAGAGAGGCTTTGAAACAGAACTCAGGTGTCCATGAGAATTTTTATGCATGCAACACCTTCAACTGACGTGTCTATATTTCAGTGGAGGCAAAGGCAACTTTTTCTCTGCCATCAGCTTTTAAAGATCTTCTGATAATGAAATCTGTCATCTTTCCCTGACTTGTAYCTTGCAAATCCAAGTTTTTGAAGGTGTTTTCATTTAGTTACCACTGTCCGTGAGATGTGTGATAGGTAGTTGGCACTGGGAGGACATGTCTTGCTTAGGAGCAGTCTGCCCTGTAAAGCTTTTTGTTTTTTTCTTTTTTTCAAATTGACTGACCTGTTTGAAAATCAGTTCTGCCTCTTGTTCAGAGGGTGTGATAGTATCGAAGAGATGTACCAGATTGTTGCACAGCAAAACACAGCCAGGCCAATGAGTTGGCAAGGAGTTATCGGTCACTGCTTTTTTTACCTCACTGCTGGCAGGCATTTTGGAAAAAAAAAAGATAGACCGCTGTTGTATTTTATACTTCTTTTTATCTTTGATAATTATTGGATCTTGGGTGTAACCAGGTGACCTGTCCTGTATAAAGAATGACCTAGGAAGGTGCTCCCACTGTCGTTTGACTGATGGTATCTCATCTCCTCCCCATGGCCCTGCGGTTTGTTTGTTAGCAGTATTCTCTGAAACTACCCAGGTTAAAGAAAAAAGTACCAGTCAGCTTGATTGTAGTGCTGGGTGGTTTCACAGAACCCCAGCAGAGAGGAGGGTGCCTCTGTGGGGCAGACACCASTTGGACTAGATCTTCTCCAGATTCACTGGCAGGTCTGCCTGCACCTTCAGGCCAGCAGACCCTCACAAAYACTAACTGCAGGAGTAGCAGCAGAGGTTCATTAAGATGGGGAGCTAATTTTTGCAAAGAGAGTGCTAGAAATAGGGAGGGAGTTTATTGGAATTCCTCATTCATCCTGTCCCGGCTACCAGTGCTGGGCTCCATACATTGTACTGGATGTGCATCGTGAAAAAAGGCTCCCTGTCAGAGGCAGGATTTAACTGCAACCCCTGCTCTATGAATGTTCATTTCAACCTTTTGAATGGTAAAACTGCCAGTGAGAGAAACTAAATAACTCGCATGTGCTGGAAGCCAGAGATAAACACCGCTGCAGGTTGCCATGAAATGGGCTATTTGATATATTTAGAATTGTTATTTTTCTCCAAATTAAGATTAGTTAAATCCATGTGTGTTATGTGAGTGATTGTTAACTCAATGGCATGGATTATCCTTTTTTCAAATCATGACAGCTAATTATTATTGCTGTCTACCCTGAGACATTCGTTAACAATGCACCATTATGGACCCGTGCACCCATATTAACTGCAGGACTCAGACAGCCATCGTGATGCCTTCACACGTGAGGGGAGGGGAACGCCGGCTGAAACAACCCCAGCACTGTGACGGTGACATCAGGCAGGTCAGGAAGAGGTGCTCTGAAGCCGAGCTGGCACGGGGGAATGAGGTCCATCCCCT